GAGGCCGGCAGCAGCAAGCGGGCAACCTTGGCTTCCTTCATCACTGGAGCAAGCAAGCCTCCTGTTCGCTTCAGCTGCCTGGCTGCTGGCCGCCACCTTGGTTGGCAGTTAATTTGCATATCACCCTGATTAGCCAATGGGAAGCGTGTCGGAAGTACAGTTAATTACCATGTTTGTCTACTATTAGATAAGATATTTTTGGACAGTTGCTTTGAAACTAGCTTAAGGTTTTATTCACTAATTTTAGAATTCATTGATTTTTTTTGCCTGTGGCAGTTACTGGTGTGGAGTGCTAATGGTGATTTTTGTATTTGCCTCATTCCTTCTATGTTTATTAATTTGAATTCTTTTGTTAGATAGAGTTGTCCCCTTTCCCCATTATAAATATGTTAGTTAATTTTAATACAGTCATGTGCCAGATAACCATGTTTTTGGTCACCAACGGACCAAATTTATGAAGGTGATCCCATCTATACTAATAAAAGCCTGGGTGGTCCTCGCGCTCTTGCGCGTGATGTCGTTACAAGATGGCTGCCACAAGCAGAGGTGGGGCCCAGTGGCCGCTCTGCACGGTGAGGCCTGGGGTTCCCGCGGCTCCCCGTGGCACGGAGGAGGCCAGTCTCTGCGTCTCTGCCACCTCGCGCAGAGGAGGCGGGTGCCGGTGGCAGCGGAGGAGGTGGGTCGCGGCAGGGGAGGGCAGTTGGGGGTGATCAGGCCATCAGGGGAGGGCAGTTGGGGGTGATCAGGCTGGCAGGGGAGCAGTTAGGCGTCAATCAGGCCGGCAGGGGAGCAGTTAGGGAGTGATCAGGCAGGCAGGCAGGCAGGCGAGCGGTTATGAGCCAGTGGTCCCGGATTGTGAGAGGGAGTCCCAGATTGGAGAGGGTACAGGCCGGGCTGAGGGACACCCCGACGGGCTTCTAGTAAGATTATAATGGGGCCGAAAATTTTCTATCTAGTGATGTTGTAGCCATGGTAACATAATTGTACAGTGCGTCACCCATGTGTTTGTGTTGATGCTGATGTAAACAAATCTGTACTGCAGGTCTTATAAAAGTATAGCACATACAATCATGTACATTGCATAGTACTTGATAATGATAGTAAACAACTATGTTACTGGTTTATATATTTGCTTTACTATTATTTTAGAATGCATGCTTTCTATTTATAAAAAAGAAAACATGCCACGTTATGCCTCAGACATACACCTGTGCAACAGCCTCATACATCTTTTGTTTACTGTGTCTCTTTATTGTATCATTTTCTCTTGTGCTTGATTTAATTGTGTGCTGTTTTGTTCTCCATGGTTCCTGAGCTTTTTTTTTTTTAATCATACAAGTCCTTTGGTTGATCCCCTACCTTCCCTCTGAGGTTTGATGGTCTGATCGATGCTTCTCTATCTCTGGATATGTTGTTGTTCATCAGTTTAATGTTGCTCATTCTGAGCTTTTTAAAAAAATATATTTTTTTATTGATTCCAGAGAGGAAGGGAGAGGGAGAGAGATAGAAGCATCAGTGATGAGAGAATCGTTGATCGGCTGCCTCCTGCATGCCCCACACTGGGGATCGAGCCCACAACCTGGGCTTGTGCCCTTGGCTGGAATCAAACCTGGACCCTTCAGTCTGCAGGCCAATGCCAACCACTGAGCAAAATAGGCTAGGGCCTGAGAGTTTTGCACAAAGATGAATTCGCGTAACAATGCATTGTATCCCTGTCATTAAGTTTTTCTTTTTGGTTAAGATCTCTTTGGTTGAACTCTATAGATGTATTTGAATTTGAGGCGGGAGGATGGGTAGTTCTTTTGTATAAGTTCAGTGCTGAATTGAAACTGAACACTTAGTTCTCTGTTTGGTGCCTTATATATTTTACTTTTTAAAACAGCGATTTTCCACCTGTGTGTCACAAAAAATTTTAAAACATGTAATACCTGACTATTTAGTCGGGGGTACTGACCTCTTTTCCCTTAGATTGTCGAATGAAAAAAATTGCAACAGTCAACACAACAGTAGCTATCTGGTGTGAATGCTCTACCTTGAGCTATAAATATATAGGTCATATAATAGAGTTGCTTTTATTGGTCATGTTGCATAATAAAGTTGTGTCTGATTGGTTAATTCTTGGTACCAGAAATCCTTATATACAAGTATAGACACCTGATTTTTTAAAAAGTTACTTTGGAGGAAAAAGGGTAGATAATTATTATTATTTTTTGTAAGTCAAAATTATACCTTTTTTTTGTCAGATTAGCAGGACATGTGTTTTTTTGGTATGTTGCAGAATTTTAGTAGTTTATGTGTACCATGAGATGAAAAGGGTTGAAAATTGCTGTTCTAAAATTTACTTTTGTATGGTTCTTATTTCTCTTATTTTTGAAGTAATTTTGTAAGAATTTATGTAACTATTTGAATGATTTTTCTCATTAAATATCTCAATTTATAAGTTGGGGGAACGTAATGAAATTATATTTTGTGTTAATATATAGTGTTAAACTTTATAATTTAATAACTACTTTTGAATGAAAATACACCTTTCTTTCTTCTTAGGCTTGAAAAGGAATACACTACAATAAAAACTAAAGAAATGGAAGAGCAAGTTGAAATTAAAGTAAGCATCTCAGGACTTTTAAAAGTACAGCACATACATTGATGGAAGTCAGTTATTTGGCAAGAGATGTTAGGTTATGTTAATATATTTTTTATTACTTATAGCACATTTAGCAATGATGTTTGTATTTATTTATTGATAAATTTATTTTCTGTCCCACTAATTGTAGTTAAAAGTAGATGTTTCAAAAAGCAGAATAATGTGACCAGGGTGGTTTTCATTCTAGTGTAAAAGAGAGCAACTCTTCCCTTTTACTAGATATGTTGGTGGGTCATCAGGAGAAAATACTTCTATGGGTAAGATAATTATTCCATTTAAGGATATTTTAAAGTTGCAGAGAAGATAATCCACAGTATGCTGACACTAACAGCACTATAGCCTAAGGTAGACTAAATAGAACAACTCATTGCACTAGAACTAATTATGGCTGCTTTAGAAATGCAGAAAGCTTTGGCTAATTCAATTTTTTCATCACTAAGGAAATGTTACACTTTTGAACTACTCTCCAGAGAAACAGGTAGATTTTCAATTTAAAGAACATATAAATTTCTCTATGTACCTTAAAATTCTTATTTGTACCCCCTGTAAGGCCAGACATTTTTAGGTTGAGGATCTTTGTCATTGTTTGAGCTGGGAGTTAAGGCAAGTTTTATTGGCTTTTATGCTGATACATTAGGATGGGGATGATTAGTAGGAGGATGAGTTAGTGAAGGAACTCAGTGACTGGCTGATCCAATTTCTTATCTCTCAATCCTCCCCCCTCCCCCCACCCTGCAAAGAAACAAGATAAAACAGTATTTCTTGAGTGATTCCACTTTTAAAAAAACCCTCTGGGTTTGGGTGTGTCTGTCTGATTTTTTTATTTGGATCTGGCAGGGCATTAGATGACCTCCTTATTCACAGTTAATCAGCCATGTATCAGTTCAGCCTCGGTAGTACCACTGTAGTACTCACACCCTACATGTCCTTTATACAAGGGAATGGGTTCTTTTAGTATTTCTTCTTGCCATGATCCTCCTCAAAAAGCCTCCTGGGAGACAGTCTCCCCTATTTTTCCATGTGACCTCTCTTATCAACTTTGACTCCCTTCTCTAGATTGTTTATTTCCATTTTTCCCCTTATTCTTATTAATTGGAAATAGATACTTCTACATGTTTAAGACAGAGAGACAGACATAGACAGAAAGATCCCTGTGGATGTTTTTTCCATCCTTTTTAAAATTCTATCATCCAACTGCTACTCTACCATTTGCTTTTCTTTTAGGTACCATGAGTAAGGGTAAATTAATTATACCCTCTACTTCAACCTACTGAAAGTAAAAAGTACGTCATCCTGATGAGTGGGGAAAGAGCATGGGTTATCGCATACCAGGAATATTCGGAACTGCAAATCAAGAATCTGAGGATGGGGAAGCCATCCTGTTCATTTCATCATGCTATGTTATTGTGGGAAACAATAATCTCAGGTCTATGAACAATTCTTGCTCTTGAAATTTTTTCCAAAATTAAGTCCCATGAATGTAGAAATAACAAAAAACCTTTCAAAAAGGTAACTGCAGATTTAAGCCTATATTTGCAGTTTTTTTCAAATTTTGTTTTTTTGGGGGAAGTTATAGTTCAGTTACCTCACAAAATACTTTTGCTTGCCAGCTCCATGTGTCTTAGGCAAAAACAGATGGCATAAAGTTATTTATTAGAAGAGAATCTGGAAAAGAAAATTAAAAATATTAGTGGGACATATCAGGTAAATAAAGTATGCTGATCTCAAAGGTAGTCTGTTCTTTTTATAAAATCTTGTTTACACAGAGTTCTTTCTTACTCTTATACCATATCCATCTCTTTTTTCACTCTTCATGTTCCCCTACCCCGCCACCAAACGACAAAGCCAAACAATTTTTGTGTGACTGAACTTTTTTCACTTAAAATTTGGTATGTCTGGCTTTGACTTGGACCTGGCAACTCATGCCAGTCATAATCAGATGACCACCTTGTTTATTGGATCAGTCATAATCAAATGATCACCTTATTTACAATTAACTAGCCATGTATTATATGAGCCTTTCTGTAAAATGAGATATGCCACTTTCTTACTCTCTCCCCTTCTCTCTGAGGTTCCTTTTACGAGGGAATGAGTTCTGTTAAACTAGTACTTTCTTATCTTGGTTCTCCTCAAAAGCCTTCAGGGACATAGTCTTATACTGTTCTCTACACAAGCACATAGTATGATCAAGTTATTTGATGCTTTAATATGGAAGCAAAAACAAACAGCCTTTGATATTATGCAGTATTTTTAAGGTTTCCATTCTCTTTACTTTAATTAAAATTCTAAGACCTTTGGGTTGGTGACCTTTTATTCTAAGAATTATATCTGTTGGTCACCTTCCTGGTAAAGATGTAATTTTTAAGTATTTTTACCCCTTCTCTGAGAAAGTGTTTGATATATGTATATATTTAGGAAGATTTTTATAATAATGCTTTCATATGGAGAATCTCATATTTTACTGTGTGAAATTTTTGTTAATGGAAACATCTTTATCAGTATCTTTTTCTAATCTGTTGATGTTCCACCTGAAAGGAAGGAGGTACAAATTTAAAATTATAGCTTATATTAAGGTAACCCACAAATCTTTAAAAAAGAAACACCTTGCCTGGCCATTGTGGCTCAGTGGTTGAGTGTTAACCCATGAACCAGGAGGTCATGGATCGACTCCCTGTCAGGGCACATGCCTAGGTAGCGGGCTTGATTCCCAGTAGGGGGCATGCAGGAGGCAGCCATCAATGATTCTCTCATCATTGATGTTTCTATCCCTCTCCCCTCTCTCTGAAATTAATAAAGAAAAAAAGAAAAAGCTTTGTCTTCTACTTAAGATAAACATATGAACTCTAGTACTTATATTTAAATTTGTTCTTTGCAATGGGAGATATTAGAAATCCTGACTTATTTTTAATCAGAAATTAACATTTTTTAAATTTCAAAAATTAAGAAATAGTCCATATATGTTGAAAAACAGAAAATAATATAAAAACACTTGTGCATCTATTGCCTGACATAAAAAAGAAGTCATGACAAATATCTAAGTCATTCAGTAATTATTTTCAGCAATGTGAGGTATTCGTATTGACAGTTACATTTATTCAACATTTAATATATGAGAGGTCATCTACATGCATTATCTCCATTCATTCTTAGAATAGTATTTTGAAAGGTTTCTTATTCCCATCTTTTCATGAAGAAACTAAGCACCAGAGAGCTCAAATAATATGATAGTAGCCACATTGCTCGAAAATGGTAAAAGTTAAGAATTTCAACTCTGATTTGGTTTTTTAAGGCCCATATAGGTTCTTCAGTGTATACACTGTGATGCTTTCCAAGAGAGACTTTAATGTGTAGGTAATGTAAGAAGGATTTGGATGCTCATTTTATGAACTTTTTATTAAAAAACTAATGTCTGAATAATAATATATAGTGGGGGTGCAGTAGCATAATTTATTTAATGTCATTCATTCAACAGATATTTATAGTGCCAACTTACATGTTCAAGCTCTGTTCTAGGCACTTGAGATGTGTTCATGAAACAAACCAATTCCTGCCCTCATGGAGTTTACATTTTAGTACAGAAATCAGACAGTAAACAGAAAAGTAAAATGTATAGTATTTTAGATAATGATAAGTGTTAAATAGGAGAACAAAATACCTTAAGGTATGAAAAACAAAATAGTAGTGTTTAAATTGAAAACTGGGAGAAATTTAAAGGTAAAGCTGACAGATTGAATGTAGAGATATTAGAGGGACAGGAATTAAGCATTTTGGCCTGAGCAATTAGAAAAATGGAGTTCCCATTACCTGAGATGGTGAAGACTGCAGGAGAATCCTGTTTGGGAAGAAATACCAGGAACCTAATTTTGCATATTTTTTAAAAAAGTATATTTTATTGATTTTTTACAGAGAGGAAGGAAGAGGGATAGTTAGAAACATTGATGAGAGAGATACATCGATCAGCTGTCTCCTGCACACTCCCCACTGGGGTTGTGCCCGCAACCAAGGTACATGCCCTTGACTGGAATCGAACCTGGGACCCCTCAGTCCGCAAACCGACGCTTTATCCACTGAGCTAATTAGCCGGTTAGGGCTAATTTTGCATATTTTAAAAGTATGAGATGCCCAGGAGATGTTTGAGTAGCCCCTTGAATATTCAGAGTTAGAGTTGAGAGGACAAACTCAATCTATATATATAAAAGCCTAATATGCTAAGTGTCCAACTGAGTGGTCAACTGGCCGGTCGCTATGATGTGCACTGACCACCAGGGGGCAGATGCTCTGACTGGTAGGTTAGCTTGCTGCTGGGGTTTGGCCAATTGGGACTGGGTGAGATGGCGCCAGACACACCCTGGAGCCCTCCCACAGTCCCTCCCCTGATTGGTCCCTATGGGGACTGGGCGAGATGGCCCTGATTGGCCCCTATTGCTGGCCAGGCAGAGGGACCCCACCCATGCACGAATTTCATTCACTGGGCCTCTAGTATAAATACAAATTGGGCAGTTATTGACATGATAATGCCATGAGAGTGAATGAGATTACTTGGGAATCTCATTATCACTAAGCAAAGGTTATACTTTTTAACTACCTTCCAGAGAAACAGGTACATTTTCAATTTAAAGGGCGTATACATTCCTATATATACCTTAAAATTTGTATTTTGCCCAGCTGACATGGCTCAGTGGTGAGTGTCAACCTATGAACCAGGGGTCACGGTTTAATTCCTAGTCAGGGCATATGCCCAGGTTGCAGGCTCAATCTCCAGTGGGGGGCGTGCAGGAGGCAGCCAATCAATGATTCTCTCTCATCGATGTTTCTATCTCTCCCTCTTATTCTCTGAAATCAATAAAAAATGTATTTTTAAAAAATTTGTATTTGTACCCTGGGTAAGGCCAGAAATTCTTAAATAGATAAAATAGAGAAGAGAGTTCAAGAATTGAGCCTTAGAGTAAGCCAACATTTAA